CTTCGGCTTAGCTGCTCCCTTCACGGCAGACACCGGCCTCGGGCACGGAACGAAAGCAGAAGTGGACGCCCCGTCCACCACTCGGGACGCGCCTACGTCCTCACCCTTTGAAGAGGAGGCGGACTCCTCGTCCTCGCCTTCCTCGTCCACCGGCTCTCCGGATTTGTAGGGACTTAAACGCTCTATCTCCTCTTCAAACTCCTCGAGCACCTCGTAGTCAAGCGACCTCGTGGAGGGCTGGTCGTCGTAGGGGTAGTAGTCTTCGTTCAAGCTCTTCATAACTACTACTACGGGCCTAAGGAGACTAACTTAAGATCTAAGTGTGTTCAAACACCTAACACTAGATCAACAACCTAGGGAGCAAAGTATGAAAAATGAGGAAGATCGCGATGAACACTAACCTTGAACAATGACGAACACGAAGAACAAGCTTGGGAGTTTCTCTCTAGAAAAATGGGCAGCACTTCGACAATTCAGAATGCAAACGTGATTCCTCGTCGAAGGGGGAGGGGTATTTATAGAACCCCCCACCCAACGGTCACTACACGTGGCACCCCCCAATGGCCACACCAACGGCCACCAATGGAGGACCACCACGTCACCAACGGGCCAAACTCAATATCAACAACCCACTGGCAAGACGGACTCTACGGCCTACACACGCTCACCGGCTTTACAAATGCCAGCAAGCGCCCACAACGTCCCACTTGCTCACCAAGATCACAACGGCCAAACAATAAGGAGACGTCAACGGCCAGGAACGTAACGGCCACAAGATCAAAGGACCCAAGAGCCCAAAAGCCATCGGCTCCCCGTAATAACCCTTGATGATAACCCTCTACAAGCGATCTGCGCACAAGGGTTCTCCCACAGGGTTACCTTGGCCAGAAAATCGCCATGAGGGCTGGATTCAGGGGGACTACGGCGAGACCGCTTCGGCCGGGGTCTCAAGCAACTCCTTCACCCCTCACACTCTTCGGCCTGAAGCAGTGGGGGACTGGGGGACTACACCGGCCTCAACAAAACAAAAGAGAATGCAAACAAGGTAACCACAAAGCATGGCCACATCATCCATACAGCACAATGGAACTTCATCGACCAAAGGCCCATAACGTCACTAGCGACGGCCAACAAGCCACTAGAGGCAAGGACACTCATCGTCCTCCGCCAACAATTAATCTTGACGGGCTCTTCGGCCAAAAACACGAAGGCCAACCAGCAACGGCCAAAAGGAGTGCGCAAACACCCTCATCGGCCACACAAAGGAAAGGACGCCATCGTCCTCTAAGCAAGGAATAACTTCAGTGGCCTCATCGGCCCAAACACAAACTTCAACCATCAACGCCCAAGCAAACGTGCCTTTCAACGGCCACCATTGAAAGAAGGACACTCATCGTCCCAAAACGAAGACTTCAAGTAAACAACGGCCTCCCTGCCCACAACGAGAAACAGGTAACGGCCAAGGGCAGCAAAGCACAGGAATCTACTCTCCTTCACTTCGTCTACGTCTCAGCTTAGAGAGTGGGGGACTCCTGATGGAGTATATGGGTCTGAGCCCCCGGACCCACATACTCGGAAGAACAGAAAGCACAAGATAACAGAGTGGCGCCCTCGTCGGCCAAGACGCCCCCGTCGGCCGAAAAGGGACCAACTCGGATTATGGTCCTGAGTCCAAGGAACCCGGGTGCCCTCATCGCCCGTGCCCTCGTCGGCCACGCCCTCGTCGGCCACGAAGACCTCACAGAATCGGATTTTATACTTACTCATTTGTACAGCCCATTAGTGGCTTTGTATTCGGCCCAGTAGCGGTCCAGTTGTAAATGGGCCTCCCAAGCCCAAGGCTTGGGAGCCCAACCCTAATTTTCTCTATAAATACTCCCCTTGGGAGTAGTTATAGGGGTTACGAAATCATTCTATTGAAGCATATATTGCACTTCTCTCTCTAGCTCTCACTTCTCTCTAGATATACTCTATCAATCTACAAAGGAAAAACACACAGATTAGTAAGGCAAAGGACAAAACATAAAGACAGAAAGCCGAAGAAAGAATTACCATCGGCCTCAGCAGGAATGCCCAAATCCGGGCCGTCGGCCTCCTCAAAGGTGGTGGTCATCCTCGGCCAGAGTTGGAGGTCATCCTCCTTGTCACCATAGACATAGTACCTCAAGAAGCTGAGGGCGGCCATCTTGTATTCAGTAATGTAATCTTTCACGCTCCTCGGCCCCCCTTCCAAGAAAGCCTCCACCTGAGCGTCCAAAATAGAGCTTTTCGGCGGGTCGTGCAGGTTAAACCTCCCGGTATGGCCGAGGGAGGGAAACTCGGTGCCACTCTCACCAATGGACACAAACACGAACTTGCTCTTCCACCCATGAATGGACGTAGGCAAATCCGTGAAGCTCCTCTTCTTCGGCAGCTGCTGAAGAGTAGCGTAGGCCGCACAGTTCTTGTGACTTCCTCAGCCGATCTGGTACAGATTCAGGAATAGTGCCGTTGCCGGCTGGTAGCCCAACTCCTCACACCGGAGCAAAAACCCCACCATCAAGGAGTAGCTGTTCGGCGTCAGCAGGGCCGGAGGAAGCCCTACCATGTCCAGGTACTCGGTAATGAAAGGGTGAAGGGGGAACCTCAACCCCTTAGCAAAACTCATCGGGTATACTCCAAAGTATCCCGGTGGCGGAAGAAGAACATGGTCCGTCGGCCTGGGTGCCCTAACCCGCCCGAACGGCCCCACGTACATCTGGGCAACGAGATAGTCGGCCGCACTGCTTTCCGGCTTGATCAGGAAGATGTTGGTGAGATCCAAGTGGGAGATGCCCGGCCCACACTTCGGCCTCCTCACTCTCTTCGGCTTTGCTGCTCCCTTCACGGCAGACACCGGCCTCGGGCACGGAATGACAGCAGAAGTGGACGCCCCGTCCACCACTCGGGACGCACCTACGTCCTCACCCTTTGAAGAGGAGGCGGACTCCTCGTCCTCACCTTCCTCGTCCACCGGCTCTCCGGATTTGTAGGGACTTAAACGCTCTATCTCCTCTTCAAACTCCTCGAGCACCTCGTAGTCAAGCGACCTCGTGGAGGGCTGGTCGTCGTAGGGGTAGTACTCGTCGTTCAAACTCTTCATAACTACTACTACAGGCCTAAGGAGACTAACTTAAGATCTAAGGGTGTTCAAACGCCTAACACTAGATCAACAACCTAGGAAGCAAAGTATGAAAAGTGAGGAAGATCGCGATGAACACTAACCTTGAACAACGAAGAACGCGAAGAACAGGCTTGGGAGTTTATCTCTCTAGAAAATCGGCCAGCACTTCGACAAATTCAGAATGAAAATACGTTTTCCCATCGGAGGGGGAGGGGTATTTATAGAACCCCCCACCCAACGGTCACTACACGTGGCACCCCCCCAATGGCCACACCAACGGCCACCAATGGAGGACCACCACGTCACCAACGGGCCAAACTCAATATCAACAGCCCACTGGCGAGACGGACTCTACGGCCTACACACGCTCACCGGCTTTACAAATGCCAGCAAGCGCCCACAACGTCCCACTTTCTCGCCAAGATCACAACGGCCAAACAATAATGAGACGGCAACGGCCAGGAACGTAACGGCCACAAGATCAAAGGACCCAAGAGCCCAAAAGCCATCGGCTCCTCGTAATAACCCTTGATGATAACCCTCTACAAGCGATCTGCGCACAAGGGTTCTCCCACAGGGTTACCTTGGCCAGAAAATCGCCATGAGGGTTGGATTCAGGGGGACTACGGCGAGACCGCTTCGGCCGGGGACTCAAGCAACTCCTTCACCCCTCACACTCTTCGGCCTGAAGCAGTGGGGGACTGGGGGACAACACCGGCCTCAACAAAACGAAAGAAAATGCAAACAAGGTAACCACAGAGCATGGCCACATCGGCCACGCATCACGCTGCACCTCGTCGGTATGCACGCAACGTCATCTGCAACGGCCAACGAGTCACCAAAGGCAAGGACACTCATCGTCCTCCGCCATCACTTAATCACGAGGGGCCCTTCGGCCAGAAACATGAAAGCTAATCAACGACGGCCAAAAGGAGTGCACAAACACCCTCATCGGCCACCCAAAGGAAAGGACGCCATCGTCCTCCAAGCAAGGAATAACTTCAGTGGCCTCATCGGCCCAAATACAAACTTCAACCATCAGCGCCCAAGCAAAACGTGCCTTCAACGGCCACCATTGAAAGAAGGACACTCATCGTCCCAAAACGAAGACATCAAGTAAAAAACGGCCTCCCTGTCCACAACGAGGAACAGGTAACGGCCAAGGGCAACAAAGCACAGGAATCTACTCTCCTTCACTTCGTCTACGTCTCAGCTTAGAGAGTGGGGGACTCCTGATGGAGTATATGGGTCTGAGCCCCCGGACCCACATACTCGGAAGAACAGAAAGCACAAGATAACAGAGTGGCGCCCTCGTCGGCCAAGACGCCCCCGTCGGCCGAAAAGGTACCAACTCGGATTATGGTCCTGAGTCCAAGGAACCCGGGTGCCCTCGTCGGCCGTGCCCTCGTCGGCCGTGCCCTCGTCGGCCATGCCCTCGTCGGCCACGCCCTCGTCGGCCACGAAGACCTCACAGAATCGGATTTTATACTTACTCATTTGTAGGGGAGAGCATCGGACGGGTTCGGGTAGGACGGGTTGGGTTTTTGCATACCCTTTCGGTTATCGGGCTGAGAATATAAAACCCTACCCCGTCCAAAAAAAAATTCGGTCTAATCGGGTTGCACAATTTCGGATTTGGGTCGGTTTTAATCGGTTTTCGGGGCCATTCGGGCTGATTAAATCCATTAAACACATAACACAAATAATTCATAAAATCACCTTGAAAAAAAAATGTTGGATTAGACTTTACAAACACAAATAAAATACATATTAATATGTTATCAAAAGCAATTGCAAAATTAGTAGAGTTTGTACAACTCCAAACACATGGCTAATAGTTATAAGTTTATAACTTATACACTTAACACTTATACACTCATACATTAACACTTACACAGTTATACTGCTTATGCACAAAGCAGTTTAACATTTAGAGTTTGAGCAATCAAATGTTCCAAAACAGCAAGTACCAACAAAAAGTTTAACAACATTCAATTGATGTACAAGTCTTCAGATCTTGACTCTTGACATCTACTTGACTACTAGTCTACTAGAGTGTTTCCAGAATTCCAGGTTTCATCAATTTCGCAGATCATCAACCGAACAGTCATTGATTTTGTTCCTATGTAAGTCACAAACACATTAGTATCATAAAACACTAAACTGGGAAGTGTTTAGTGTCATTATTATCATTATTATTTTCTGGGAACTTGGGAAGTGGGAACTATAAACAATTCAAAAGTATATAGAAATACAATAAGATTTGGCTCAGATTTAATTTCAGTTCACTAATAATGGGGGCATTAATCACTATATAATTAGAATCAACACCAAACTCATTTATTTTATTTTCTGGTAGAACTGTAGAAGGCTAGAAGCCATCCTCATTGCCAAAATAACTAATTGAGTAAACAATTCATGTAAGAACTCATAATTCATAAGTACATAGGAAAATTGCAGTAGTAAAACCAAGGCAGGAAGCAACATATCCTTAATTTGACTCAGTTTTGTATTCTTAATTTAATTTTTTGGTGGAAACTATCATTACTGATTAAATAATGCAACAATTAATCTAATAAGTCAGAAGTCATAAATACATATGCATAAGCAAATTCCAGTTTACTGTCTAAGTGGCAACATGTATGTTGTTATATTTGGCTCAAAATTAAATTGACTTCACTATTAATGGGGGCATACGAAGGTATATGGAAATAGAATCAACACCAACCCATCAATTTCATTTTTGGTGGAAGCTATCATCATTGCCAGATACATGCTACACTTAATCAATTAACTCAATGTTCACATTACCAAATTCCAGTACTTCCATTAAGGCAGCATGTATGTTGTTATATTTGGCTCAGATTTAAATTGACTTCACTATTAATGGGGGCATACGAAACTATATGGAAATAGAATCAACACCAACCCATCAATTTCATTTTTGGTGGAAGCTATCATCATTGCCAGATACATGCTACACTTAATCAATTAACTCAAGAGTGAAAGAAGATTACCATGTCTTGTTGGGCAAAGTACAAACACAGTAATTAGGAGAAATTGTACCAATGAATCAACAACACTTCCAATGCCATGACAGCAACATGGTTAGGCTTTTACAACCAGATCATTGACAGAAGCATATATAGCAAATCATTAGTGAAATAATAATATAATATATTACATATCTAAAAGATAAAGGTAAAAAGTATACTACTATCTTATCAAGAGAAGAGCCTCCACCAACATTTCCATCAGTTAATTCTGCATTGAAAACAATAAGAATTTAACAATATGTATAAATATAAACACTGAATATTATATAAGTAAAAGTTAGTACCTGTTTCCAGCCTTTCTACCTCCTCAATATTTTCTTCAACTGACACAGGCTGGTTTGACATCCTCAACCAATCTTGAGCACATATGAGTGCTTCTACAATTTTGGCACTCAAAGAACTCCTAAAACAGTCCAACACTCTTCCACTTGTACTAAAAGTGGACTCAGATGCTACTGTGGAAATAGGAACAGCAAGAATGTCTCTTGCCATCTTAGATAGGATAGGAAGCCTCTCACCATTAAGCTTCCACCATCTCAGTATATCAAATTCATTGTCCTCCTCAAGAATGTTCTCACTCAAACAGCTTCCACCTAAATCCTTGTCTGTCCACAAATCTAAATGACAACTCATCAATGATAAGCATTTCAGCAAGTGCTCTCCTAATTGCAACCTGATCAAACACCCAAGTCCCTAACACCCCAATTTTTTCAGATGTTGGATTACACAAGACTGGTTGGAAAGTGAGAAGGGCTTGCCTAACATCCTTTGAGGCAGGCAATTTCAGACAACTCAGTATGTGATTTCTAAGAGAGGAAGTGCCATGCTTCTTAGACTGACAACAATATATTTTAGCACAATGTATGCATTTTCCTTTGACAACAACACCATTACTATCTTTGATCTTTTCAAATTGATCCCATATTCTAGATCTGGACTCTACCTCCTTTCTCTTATTTCCAGGAACATTAGTCTGTTGTGTGCTGGTGTTAGCCCCAGCATCATGAGCTTCCATCATAGGTTCTTGGGAAACAGGAGTCAAAGGAGGTTGAGAGCCAGATGCAGGTATGGTATCCATACATTCAACTTCCATTCTGATAAATGATAGGAAGTTATAGTTCAAAAAACTCAATAATGCAAGCTTCCAGATTGAACACAACATCATACATTGAAATTAAAGTCTGGAACAATCAGCAAGCTGATCTACAGAAGGATATAAGCAGTAGGCTTATTCACTTCTCTACAGACTTAGAAGATACCAGTTCACTCTAACTACTCATTTGAGTGTTAGAGTAGAAAAAGGCAACTTCCATTCTGATAAATGATAGGAAGTTATAGTTCAAAAAACTCAATAATGCAAGCTTCCAGATTGAACACAACATCATACATTGAAATTAAAGTCTGGAACAATCAGCAAGCTGATCTACAGAAGGATATAAGCAGTAGGCTTATTCACTTCTCTACAGACTTAGAAGATACCAGTTCACTCTAACTACTCATTTGAGTGTTAGAGTAGAAAAAGGCAACTTCCATTCTGATAAATGATAGGAAGTTATAGTTCAAAAAACTCAATAATGCAAGCTTCCAGATTGAACACAACATCATACATTGAAATTAAAGTCTGGAACAATCAGTAAGCTGATCTACAGAAGGATATAAGCAGTAGGCTTATTCACTTCTCTACAGACTTAGAAGATACCAGTTCACTCTAACTACTCATTTGAGTGTTAGAGTAGAAAAAGGCAACTTCAACACTTGTTCAGAGACTCAGAACTCATAATAAATCAACCATCATCTTTACTCAGGGGCCACTTATATAAAAATCTCAGAATCACACATGCATCATCGAGGCAGCACATATTCAGAGACCATTTATATCAAAATCTCAGAATCATAGATTCATATAATCATATATTCATATGCATGACCAAAGCATCATAGATTAACAGGTAGTTCAGGGTATCAGGGTCCGAATCTAGGGTTTCAAGCTTCCACCAAAACAGATTCATATACAACTAATTCATAGAAAGGGTATCAGGGTCCGAATCTAGTGCATCAAAATAATACAACTAATTCATATACAAAACAGATAACACATCACACTTATGGATCATGCTTCCACCAAACCACCAAGCATACAGTTTAGGTATTTAACGTTTATACCTCAGTAAGAGAGACCGAGAGAGTGAGAGATCGAGAGTACAAGCTTCCACCGGAGTCCGGAGGTACAAATACACTACAGAGGTCGGACCTACGACGGAGAGTTGACAGGGATGGTTAGAGAGAAGTCGCAGACTCGCAGTAGGAGAGATCGAGAGAGGGAGTTGCGAGTGAAGACTGAAGAGTGGAGGCGCTGGAGTGTTAGGCAGTTAGGGTTAGGGTTAGTGATAAATAAATCGTATATATAGTATTGGTAGTTCGGGTATTCGGGCGGGTCGGGTAGGGATTTATAATACCCTACCCGTAACCCATAACCCTTAAAACATGGGCTGGGCTTTTCGGTTCGGGTTTTCGGGTTCGGGTCAACCGACCCAATCAGCTAGAAGAGGGCAGACCCGATCGGGTTTTCGGGTGGGTTCGGGTTATGCTCACCCCTACTCATTTGTACAGCCCATTAGTGGCTTTGTATTCGGCCCAGTAGCGGTCCAGTTGTAAATGGGCCTCCCAAGCCCAAGGCTTGGGAGCCCAACCCTAATTTTCTCTATAAATACTCCCCTTGGGAGTAGTTATAGGGGTTACAAAATCATTCTATTGAAGCATATATTGCACTTCTCTCTCTAGCTCTCACTTCTCTCTAGATATACTCTATCAACTGCATATTGAAGTTCAAAGTGATGCATATTATTGAGTTTGTAGGTTAGTATTTTAAGCATGATTTGTATTTGATCTCTTATATATATATCACTACTACAAGCAGGGGCGGTCCTGTATATTTGAGGGCTATGGGCGAATAATTTAAAATGGGCCTATTTTTAGAAAAAAATGTCAACCCCGTTTCTATCTAAATTAACATGCAAAATAATAATATTCGAAGACCTTTATTGATGGAGTATATGGCCCAGGAACCCCCGGCCCATAGACTCCTACTATTCTAATGGAGGGCCAATAGGCCCAGGAAGCACAACAGGCCCAAATCACGGCGCCCCAAGTACTAAACAACCCACGTGGCACACTAGGGGTGCCTTCGCCCCCCTGGCCGAAGGCTCCAATTCTCACAGGATGGCCAAATCAAGAAAACAAAGCTACTGGGAGAAAACGGCGAAAATCAGTAGCCCTCGGCACCTAGAGCCCTCGGCACTAAAGAGGTCCCCGGTACTCAGAGCCCTCGGCTAATCATCTACAGTCGAGGGCACCTTTTCCGACATAATATCCACTCCACATGCGCAGGGATTACCGTACCAAGTACGACGTCCCATCCAACAGCCGCATTAAATGCGGCCACATGCGATTGCCAGCGCCAACCAGTTGAGGTGACCCCTCGGCCAATGGATGCTTGACACGTGTCCCTATCTGGCATTTATTGCTACTATAAATAGCACCCCATTTCCCCGTTGTAAACCACGCAAAAAAGCCTTAACTTACATATTCAATACACTTTCTCTCTCTTACTTGATCTGACTTCTCTCCAGTTACTCCCCGTAATAACCCTTCGGATAAGCTACCCCCCGGGTACACTATCCATCATTTATAATTAAGAAAATACCTGAATTCATTAAATTAAACATAGTCAAATCACGTTTTCAAAAGAACCAAATAAAATATTACTTAAATACATTTCTTGCTGAACATTGTGAAGCAAAGTCATCAACTATAGCTTCATAATCAAGCTTTTCTAACCGATTATGTTCAATATTTAATATAGCTAATCCATTAAGCCTTTCTTGAGACATTGTTGATCGCAGATAATTTTTTAGAATCTTCAACTTTGAAAAACTCCTTTCTGCAGTGGCCACAGTTACGGGTACTGTCAATAGTATCCTATAAGCAATTGTTGTGTTCGGATAGCAGCCCATAATCTTCACAAAATCAAGAATTTGAATAACGGTCTCTTTGTCATCCGGTAAAACATTTTGCAACATTTTCAATTCTTGAAAGAGATCATTCCTATCAACATCTTCTTTCTCACCATCTTGTAAAGCATCTGCAAGTATCTCACAGCATTCTTTCAATTTATCATGAGCCAACGATTTCAAGTTCCTTGAACTAAACATAAAACCAAATATACGCTGAAAATCCTTCATCTGATCAAATCTAGTTTGCAAAGACATCAAAGCAGCATCCATCACAACATTGAAATAAAAACATTTAAAAGAATCTTCTGGAGACTTATCTTCATCATCTTCTTCATTGTCTTCATCAAAGTATTTTTTCCTACGCTTCAGGCGTTTTTTAGGAAAATCGGGTTCCAATCCCATTTCAAGAGCAATGCCTTTTGTGGTGTTCAGAGCATCTTCAAACCCTTCTTCTCTATACTTGTTTAAATGAATAATCAAATCATTCATATTCATCACACAAGTATCAATGCACATATCTTCACTTTGTAACAATTTACTGACCTGTTTAGATAAATAGTCAAATCATTAATATTCATAACACAAGTATTAATGCACATATCTTCACTTTGTAACAATTTACTGACCTGACTAATCGGGTGCAAAACTTCATACCATATTGTCATGCCCAATAAGAACTCAAATCTCTCCAGCTGTTTGAGCACACTTTTAACATCACTTTTTGACGAATAATCAGGACAATCTTTTCCCAATTTAATCAAAGCTTCTCTTATTTGGGGAGTTTGGGTTGCAATTGCTTTCACACTTTCTAGACAACATTCCCAACTTGTGGTGGACAATGATTTCAAAGTAAAACCATGTACACATTCTTTCAAAATTGCCCATCTTTTTGTTGAACCAGAAAACAATGTATACAATTTTTGAACACATCCAAAAAATGTAACAGCTCTAGAACAAGAATTCACCATATCTGAAATGGTTAAATTAAGACTATGACAAGCACATGACATGTAAAAAGCTCTTCGATTAATGTCAAGCAATCTTCTTTGAGCCCTCTGATGCTTACCTTTCATGTTGGAGCCATTATCATAACCTTGTCCACGCACATCATCAATGTCAAGTTCACATAAAGCCAAAATACGCTCCAATTCACCAAAGAGCCCTAACCCAGATGTATCAAGCACTTCGATAAACTCTAAGAAAATTTCAAGAACTTGAGGCTTGTTTGATGACATATCTACACACCTTATGATCAAAGTCATTTGTTCTTTGTGAGCAGAATCGGGCGTGCAATCAAGAATGATTGAAAAATATTTAGCAACCTTGATCTGTGAGATAATTGTATTTTTAACACCCGATGATAATATCAAAATCAACTCATTCTGAATTTTATGACTAAGATAATGATAATGAATCTCCTTTGATTGAATACGTCTCACATGCTCTTGCATAACCGGATCGAACTCAGCAAGCATCTCAATGATAGCTAAAAAAATTCCATTGTTATCTTCATATAGTTTTTCCGTGCTTCCACGAAAGGCAATGGATTGTTTTGCAAGAGTCTTAACTAAAGCAATTATTCTCCTAAGAACATCTCTCCAATGCTTCTTCTCTTTGGCAAGTTTTTCCTGAATAGCAAAATCGATTGTTTTTTCCTTTGCCAGTCTCATCTTCATATCGATCCATTTTTGCACATTACCAAAATGTTGAAAACTTTTTTCGTGACTAGAAAGTTTCTCACTCAAACGTTTCCAATCATTAAATCCTTCATTCGCTAAAAGATTAGGCCCCTCTTTTGTTTTGAACAGCTTGCAACAAAAACAGAACACTTTATCCACTTTTTTTGAGTACACCAACCACGGTCTATCTTCGCTTTCCTTATTTTTCATCTTTCTAGTGTAGTAGGCATTTGAGAAATGTCTAGACTTATCATCAAGTGGATAATTGACTTGTGTTTCTCTTATAGGGCCTTTTTCAATTACAATGTCTTTTGTTTTGGCATCTAGATTTCCCCAATCAGCAGGATCATAAATATCCAAAATCAAAGGACACATATTTGAAGTTGATACATTTGATCCATCCAAATTATTTTTTGGTTGCTCACTACCAATATGATCAACTCCTAAATTTTCCTCTGTCATGACATGATCATTCTGAATTGTTTCATTTTCGGTAGCTAAATCATTCATCTCCATTAAGTTCTCATCTCGAGGAGCACATTCAGGATTTACTTTCTTCACACAAACAAACTTTTCCATCGAACCTTTTTGACTTAGGGCCTCTTTTTCTAATCTTTGCTTCCTTTTCTTTTTCTCCCACCCAGACTCAACCATTTTTATTATACCTTGAAATTAATTAAATTTATAAATTTAATAATTGAAACTTTTACCAAACATAATCAATAAATTATACAGTACCACTTAAAACTTAAGAAATACAAATCATGTAATCATTGAAAACTAATCATTTATCAACTACTACGTATTTATAAATATTAAATAACTACTCCGTATGAATCATCAATTATGATTCGTGACAGTAAAAAAGAAGAAGATCAATCGTGATTCATGAATAGACGAAGGAAATCAATTAATCATGAATTAATGAATAATGATTAATGAGATATGAGTATAAACTAATCAAATTTATCAACTACTCTTTTTTGAATTTGAACAGCTGATTGAGTGGGAGTCGGTGGACTCACTTGAATTTGTGAAGGGCCGAAGGTTGAAGGCTGATTGAGTGATTGGCTGAATTGCTTCTTAGTTCTTACTCCGTAGTAATTTGCCGAAGGCTGAAGCCTGAAGGCGGTGAGGGCACTTCGGAAGACTGAAGGCGGTGAAGGCCGTAGTAACTCCCAGCCGTCTAACTTGACCAAGGGATTACGCAGGCTGCTACGTAACTCCTTAAGGGCTTTCGGGCTTCGGCAGACGTGAGTTAGAACCTATTGGGCCGGACAAAAATGGTATTTAAAGATGAAAACTCAGCCTACTCAAACCTATTCCAAAGAAAAAATTCTGGGCCTAATTTTTTTCCATTTTTCTTGGGCCTATGTACCCCGCCCCCCTGCCCCCCACCCAGGGCCGCCCCTGACTACAAGAATGACATACTACGTCACTTTTGGTGTCATTGCATTTTAATTAAGTTAGGTTTAGTTTAATGAGTTTCTAATTATCTGTTATTATGGTAACAAACTCACACCGCATGCATGAGACTAGTATCGTTACTACTGTCAATATAATTTTGATAAATTTGTGCGGAATAACGCCTTATTTGTGTATTACAGCTCATGTGTGTTCATAGATGGCAAAAGACTTGATTAGTCACGCACTTTCTAAATTTGAGTTTGGGAAAGCATGAGGTTTCTCGATGTGAATGTACTTTATAACACTTATCGAGATGGAGGTAAAATATAATTGTTGATTTCATGTTCTAGTTCCTTGCTGCTAAAGTTTAGCCTTTTATGGGTTTGTAATTCATTTTTCCTCACTAAATAATCCTCTTCTTTTTATATTGGAATGTCATGCGTTGACCAGATTTGTTCTTCAAAGAAGCTTATTTGATATGCGAATCTGCAAGTAAATCCAAAAAGTATGAAAATTATGAAATATGTCGTAAGTCTCCTTCTGTAACATGCGTGTTAGTATTGATCTAGATTCCTTAGTATATAGTAGCTTATTCTAAATCCCTTAAACATTTTTTGTTCGTTTTTGAGTAGCAGGAAATAGATTGGCCCTGTGCCATCTAGGTCTCGCAGTACATTTTAACTTTGTAGATATTAAAAATCTGCAATGCACTCACTAGCAAGTTAGGAACTAGTTGTGTACTAAAACTGTTTGAGGCTACAATTTGCAGTCATAATACAAAACGAAACTTTGAATCATCAGCAACGTCTACCATTTTCTCACACCATCCATGAGACGCTCTCTGAAAGTGATGCACAGGTAAGGCATCATAAAACTCATGGGCAATGATGTCATGATGATCCAGTTGGAACCTGCTCCTCTTTTTCGTTCTCCAATTTTCTGTTTTTATTTTTCAGTTTTTCTATCTCCAGTTTTTTGTTTCTATTTTCTAGTTTTCCATTTTCAAATCTGAAAACATGTTCAACAATTTTTCACCCAGTTCTGTGATTATCGAGAAGACTGACACGTTTACTTCACATATTACTAAATAGTGCTTATTAAGACTCACGTTAATAAGCGACGCATGAAATAAGCAATGTTATAAGATCATGTTTACTTAAAAAGGTTTAAAACACCGTTTAACATTAAAATATCCAAAATAACCCTATACATATATAGATACACAAACATTCATGAATACAAATATATAATATAATATGTGGGGTTGATCACCTCATGCGTGTATCCATACTCCTAACCCCTACCATGCCCCTATATCTCGCACCCTACCCTACACCCTACATCCAATTTCACACCCTTGACCCCTACCCCTACCCCTACCCTTACCACGATCTTACCCTCTACCCATACTCCCCTAAAACCCATCATATCCACTCATACCTACTCGTAGGGGTCGGGTAGGGAAGGAAGGTATGGGTGGGGGTGGGGTGGTAAGGTCTAGGGGTACGGGTTGGGTGGGGTAGTGGATGGGTTAGGGTGGGGGTAGTGAGTAGGGTTGGGGTTGGGGTAAGGTAGGGGTAGGGTAGGGAGTTGGGATAGGATGGCGGTAGGGTGGGATCAAGGTTCAACATGGTAGCGACCTGATATCCCATGATCGTCTAGAACGCACGACGCTCGTCGTTTACATCCTTGTCCAGTTTGGGCCAGATAATGATTCAAGAGCCTCGGAGGGGGCGCTCAGAATGGCCCGAGCGGCGGGATTGGCCCTGTGCTTGCTTGAGTCCTCGACCGGGAAGCTTGGGGACTATCGTCTGGGACCTTTGGCGAAAAAGCAAGATATTGACGGGAAACACATTTAATGCACCAGATTTGGTAGTTGGGTAGCTAGTCACTCATGAACCTCTACATCATCACTATCACCTACCCCACGGTAGTATAAATAGCAACATTTATTTCATAGTTAGAGGTTGGCAACTTGTACTCACTAACAATAACAATTATTCCCTTGTATTCTCAGCTCATATTAGACACTCAACCTCGACTAGCAGTAGAGTGTGCTGTAATTGTTCGTTATTATCATTTAATAAGAACTCGGCCCACTTACTGAATATTCTGTTTGTTTAATCATTCATTGCTTGTGCCACTTAATACACTCAGACCACTATACATATCCTACGAAACCCAAAGGGAAGGTGTTAGGCCTTTGGAGTTGAAGGAATAAACCTCAACACTCACAATTATACTTAGTCAATAAATCAAATTCTCAATCAATTTATACGAAAATAAAGTATTCATTCCGTCAATTCATTTTTTTCTCATACACCATGGGCCTACTAGATTAAAAAGACATGTTATTGTTTGGAAGTCTTTTACAAACATTACATGATTGGATCATTGTGAAGCCCACCCTTTCGCACGTACAATATATATATATATCCACAATCAAAGTATTATTGTAAGAATCTTTCATATATTATTACTTTCAAGGGGAAATAACACTTTTAGTCCCTGAAATAGTCACCATATTAAAATGCCATACCCATATTTCTGAGATTGTAAATGTCATCCTTCAATTATCCAAATTGTTGTAAATATGGTCCTTTGAAAGGTGAAATGTACTCCTCACCCACATTGTACATTTCACCCCTCAAAGAGCCACATTTACAACAATTTGGATAATTGAGGGGTGACATTTACAAACTTGGGAACACATGTTTGACATTTCAATATGGTGACTATTTGAGGGACTA